ACAACTGTAAATTTCATGTGCTCAAGAACATAAGAACGTCCAGATTCAGATGACACAATCGTAGATAGTGTGAGACAGCGGTTAGTAATTCTGCGAATCGTTTTATCCAGAAAACTAATAACCCATTTTTCGATCGATTTGATAGCGTTAAGCTAACGCGACTGAATTCTTGAACCCTGTTGGCGCAGAATGTACATACCATAATCTTTAGATCGAATATGACCGGATAAAAGATGATCGTTTTGAAAATGTGGAATGATCTAATCAAAAAAGTCCTTTTGGTGAAAAAAGAGAATTCTGTGCGGTTACATCAGAAATGGAGTGCCTACGAAAAAAAACTCCAAATATTTTTCAAATTTCGATTCTCGCAAAAAAATGCTAATCTGAAAAAGAATTTTATCGTCTCTTGTCATGAAAATTCGCATCAACTGTCGCCCTCTCAAATCTTTTCTGTTTGAGGCGTGAGCTTCTCAAAAGAGACAGCATTAATATATGGTTTATGTAGTACTTTTATTTTCAGTTTTCGAGAAAAATTTCATTTGGTTTTTCCCAATGCAAGGAACTTTGAAGCAATTGTCGAAGCCTCGAATCTGATGCAATATTTACACAAATGAAAGATTTTTTATAAAAATGAGATTTCATATGTTTGGTGCGCTCTGGCTTGAATTTTATTGCTCTGAGAGCAATGTGAAAGTCATAAATAATCACAGGAACGATGAAGTACGAAAGGAAGAAATCACAGGGCGATAGAAGATAGCTTATGTGCTTGTGAGAGATGGGTTTATCAACAAAAGAAATATGCCTTACCTGTCGTTGCAATTGAATATTGAATCCAACTTTGATAGCTGGAATAAAGCGAGTATTGTAGAAGCAGAGATGAGACTAATCGATCTCACCGTTTACAGTGTTTGTGGTGGCTTTTGGCTGCTCTTGGCTGATGAGGAACCTTGATAAACAAAACCGAAGACAGACAGTCTAATGGCAAAGATCACTTGTAAAAAAAGGGCAGTGTTAAAGTGCAGGCGAGGGGGGGGTACATAGAGCATCATAGAGCATAGGGTAAACAAAGCAAAAGTGGCACGAACAGACCGACATTGACGTCAGATGGGGGTGCCTGCGCTTTATTAAAGAGTATGATAACTTCCTGCGAATAGAAGTAATCGATGAGTTCAGTTAAGATGTCACGGCAAAGCAAGAGCTAGCAGGGTCCATCCACCAATTCCTTTTCGCCGCTCACGTCAAGTGTATAATTTTCATAATCCGTAAATAGGCATGCACACACGCGCTGAAGAGAGGTCAGTGGCTTCTTTTTTTGCTCGGTTCAAAAATCTCTTGGCAATGCAGACTCTATGGGTTCTTTTATGTTGCAAAATAATCTACGTAAACTTCCCTAGCTATGCATTGTTAGATAAGGTGCCTAACGATTCTCATTAGCGAGCAATGCCATGTTAAATAGACAGGTTTGAAGAAAAACGTTGTGAAGTTTTTGAGTCCTTGCTTCTTCCTTAACAAGGACTTTCGCAAGTTTGTCCATAGCAAAAGAACTGCACAACACATGAAAACTATGATCTTGGAAAAAAGTTGACCTTGAAAGAAGTTATGACATTTTGAACTCAACTCAAATCGGACAGAACTTATGCAGCAGCTTAGACCTACAGTAAAAACCTACATCATCTTGGGATTGGGATTTTTCTGTGTTTTACGAAAAAATCCAAAAAAGTCCAAAGAAAGTTGTGTAGCAGAATTTTTAGCGCGTTGATTCTGCTACTCAACTTTTCACAGGACTGTAAGGCTAATTGAAGCTTGTAATTATTCTGAGGAACATCGAAACAGTCACGGTGTACGTGGAACTTATGAATAAACTTTTACGTTGCAAACCTCTTGATTAGACTTAGCTACTCTGATTAACCTAGTATGAGTGTTCATATGTGTTTTAGTCCCTCTTTCAAGATAAAATACGGCTCTTAATGATCCAATCTTCTCTTTATGTTTTCTGCCGCAATCCTACAGTGCTGAAGAGAGATTGGTGATTTGCTATAAAATGCAAATCCATCACCCAACAGAATGGTGAGTGAAGGTCGGAAAAGACTTTGTGGGAAGAGAGATGCTAAAAACAGTGCGTATATATTTTGGGACACCCGTACTATCATGTGTTACGTCATTCTAAAAATTTTGCTTTCTAGGACACTGATCTATTAACAGCTCAAGTGTTGTTCGATTCCTCTTTCTTCTTTCTCTCAAACAGCTACGTTTCCTCTGTGACCTTTATATGATATTTACTGCTATGCGTTATAGAAAAACTTGTAAGAGCGCTCGATTTCCCTTAAATTTTGAAATTTTCATCTTAGCCGTCCAGCAAAGCGTTAATAGCTTACACATAGAAAACACCTTTCATCATATTCGAAAAGCTTTTATGCTTTTGCTGCAATTTGTGTTCGGTTTCACTAGAAATAACTTCAGCAGATCCGAAAAGTGTAGAGGCAGTGTTTAGCCCAAAATAACAAAATATGACTCGCAGGATACATTAAAAGCACAGTTGAGTTTTTCTTGCAGTTTCTGTATCCTGCTCAGAACAAGAATCTGAGTGAAAACTTTATCAACTATTGGTTTGCTTACCCGGCTCCGCTCGGCCCTGTCAAAACACTGTAAAAAGGTCCTACCCCTATCCCTGTACAGCCTTTCCCTGTGCCCAATTCTACACTTCATTTCCCGTTCCCTGTATTGTTTTCGAAATCAGTAACCCCACTTACCCCCCCTCCCCTGCGCCAACTTCCAGCCCTTCAGCTCGAATTTTGAAAAAATCAATAAAATCGTCAAAGGTAATCGATAATTCCGAAAATTAATATCGTATTCGGAATCGCCATGCCCACTTACCCCCCCCCCCCTGTGCCAACTCCCAGGTCCGTAGGTGAACTCTGCAAAAGAAAACGATAAAAATCTATAAAATCGATATTGATCATAACGAAAAGTAGCCTGTGACACGTTCCCCTCCCCGAAGTATATGTGCACTAAGGGCCGCATGCACTAACCTCCCCGCTGGGGAGGGGATCGCAGCTTAAAAGAAAGCTTTATATTTCGAAACTCCAGATAACTGGATATCATGCTGTGTACCTATCCGTAAGTATTCCTACTACCCTTCACTATGAACATGTTGAAGAGGAGCGAGAAGCTGCACGAACCGAATTTTCCAGCTTTTGTATGATCCCTGATGATCCCCGGCGCTTTTCTTTAAAGTCAATTTTCTTTCTCCGAAGTCAACGAAAACTTTCCAAAGCTGTGCTGAACATCTAACACAACAGTGCTAAGCATGTTGCTGATGAGAACAAATGAGTTTTTGAAAAGTCGAATTTTTCGGTAAACCTCAAATTTCGACCTGTGGATCATCGAAAATTTCATGATCTCAAAACATCATTTGTTCTTATCAGCAATATGCTTAGCACTGTCGGGTTGGATAATCTGCACAACTTTGGAGGTGTTTTGTTAACTTCGGAGAAAGAAAAATAACTTTAAAGAAAAGCGCCGGGGATCATCAGGGATCATACAAAAGCTGGGAAATGCGGTTCTTACAGTTTCTCTCTCCTCTTCAACATTTTCATAGTGAAGGATAGTAGGAATACTTACGGATAGGTACACAACGTGAAATCCAGGTATCTGGAGTTTCGAAATAAAAAAAAATATAAAGTTTTCTTTTAAGCTGCGATCCCCTCCCCGTGGGGATGTTAGTGCATGCGGCCCCAAGTTTGATAAGCCCCCTCCCGAGCCGAGAAAACTGAGCCCCAAGCGGCGCGCGGATCCGCGCTAGGTCTCCCCTGTTGCGTTTCAGCAAGTTCTTTAAGGCAAAGCCATCCTTTTGAGCGTATTCATCCTTGCGGCCAAAACTGAGGTAGAGCGGGACTACTCGTCCGCGTCGCTCCTAGGAAGCTTCGGAAAACGGGGTTGCTGGAACTTTTATGCGAATTGAGCCCTTATAGGTTTTTGCGAGGTCCGAACTTGCACTTCGCAGTAATCCCAAGACTCAACTTCTGGTGATAGATGCCTTTAGGCTCGAGTTGTCTTGGGGCAGGGTTCACGCGATTTTATCGTCGCGACAAGACAACTGTAACAATATCATTGCATGCCGATCTTCTTGCACTTCGGTTGTGACAGTTTCCAACACGACTGATCGTGACAAACTATCACAAGCGAATTACAGAAGATCGGCATGCAATCTCGTAACACTTGTCTTGTAGGCTATATACTGATCCCGAAGTTTGGGAAAGTTCTAGCACAGCCCTCGAACTGAGCGTTGTGCTGGAACTGTTCCCAGACTTCGGGATCAGTATGAACGCAGCCGTAGCGATGATGAACTCTGCCAGGGAAGGATACTTGGGAAGAAGGAGAAGTGTACTTAAAGTGTACATTTCATATGGAAACACCACGAAGTGGTGTTTCCATATGAAATGTACACTTTCTTATAGAGCATGCAACGCTGATTCCAAATCTGCTTTCCTTATCTGCAAAGAGCTCTTGAGAGGAGAGTTATTAAAGCTTTTCGATGCAAAAATTTGAAAGCGCGGCTACAATAAAAGCATTCAAAACATGAGTCTGTGAGCTCAGATGAGGCCATGATTTACCGGGGCGTTTCATACAATAAATATCTTTAGTTTAATAGACTTATATCAGTCATTACCCCTTTCAAGAGCCTAAAAGATCTTAACACCCGTTTTTACCTTAGCCTATTCATTAAATTTTTTCCTTAAAAAATTTCCAGAACTCCCCTGCCAAAAGCGCTTTGCAGATAAGGAAAGCAGATTTAGTATCAGTGTTTTATGCTCTACAAGATAATATACATTTCATTTGGAAACGCCACTTCGACCAAGTATCCTTCCCTTGTAAGCTTTGGAACTATGGAACGGGACACTATCTTTCTAGATGTACTCTATCGCTGCCCGATTTTTTAAAGCAAATAAGATATTAACTGTTCAAACGATTCATTCTTCGTTTCAGCTTGATCAGTCAAAATGAAAGGGCCAATTATCTTCGCTATCTACTTCGTAACGTCCACTTGCTTGCCAGATGATACGGAGAAACGTACGACACCTAGCTTGGTGGGGTCTCGTAAAGGCTGTGAATGTAAACCTCTCGTTTTTCCAATGTTGAAAGAATTCTGCTACTTCGATTTTAGTAAGTTGAAACAGTTTTCTGCTTACTTTGACATCTATTTTCGAGCTCGACTCTAACACGTGTGTTTACGAGTTCTGCAGTAGGAGTATGTCATTTCTGCAATCGTAGAGCTTTCGCTAACGCTGCTTTATTGGCTCGAAACGGATCAGTTCGGAACTTTTTTTGTCTGCAAGTTTTCACCAATGCGTTAATGGCGATCAAAACGCGAATTACGCGAATGATTCAGATTGGGGTCTTACTCACTTACACTTACTCAAACGGATTTCCGTTAGGCTATACATGTACATATGTCATATGCATAAAATTCATGAGCACAAAACTAGGTAGACAGGTCCCATCAAACCCCCACTTCGAAAGGATGATACTTTTTACGTTTCATTTTAGTTTCAAAGATGAAAGTTGTCTCGCAAGAAACAACAGAGTTGTATCCTAAGTCTTCCGGACTAAACGAACTCTACAATCCCAAACCCATTATAAAAGGTATTCGATACGAAGTTAAACATTTAAAGGAGTTCAGAGTAAGTGAGACTATAGTAGTTCTTTATCGGTTTTATATAAAAACATCCTTCAGAATGTGAACAACAACACGAGAAATGTTGAGGAAGGGCTTTCCGAATACATCTTCAGTCCGAAGCCTGGTAACCCATGCGCTTTGGAGCTCATAGTAAACGAAGTCTACACACTTGGAGGTGATACCACAACTTAATCATTCTAGAATAGTTAAAGTTATCTACAGGTTTCATTCCAAAAGGTCAGCGGCTTCGAGCAAATTTGTGTGGGTTGCTCCAGTGGAAAGATAAAGAAAAGTATCTGGCATATTACGGTAATGACCAGTGCCGCGATGAAGATCAGAGACGCAATGTTTTTCGCAAGCAAAGAACTCACTAGATAAACTTGGTTTTGGGATCTTTTCCGGATTCAATAACTGCAATAATCATTGAAATTTGGAAATTTATCAAAATTTGCAAAAAAAATTACATTCGTTTCGTTCCTTCACAAATGGTTATAAATTGTGGAATGTTTGCGGTAATTCCGCATCTCAAATACTTAAAGACTAGTGACTTTTCGAAAAAGAGTATATTGGTGAACCGTGAGTTCTGGTATGTATCTTTCATTCATGCCAATTTAACGAAGCTCTCTTCTACCTCTAAGGCAAAACTGTGATCACAAACGCTGATGATATTTGCAAACTCGAAGGCAGCTTTTTTATCTACGACACTCCACAAAACAATTAACCGGTAAAATTCTTTGCTATCTGCGACTGCTAATTGCTCTTTTTCTGTGTATGGCTGTAAAGTTATTTTGAGTAGACGCCAGTCACAGAACAAACGGCGGTGTGATGGTGAGGAGATGAGGACGCAGACGCGAACGCGACGAGAGGGTGTCGATATAGTAAGTTTCAACTCAGGCGAGAGTCCGCTCCGGTTCGCGCCGCCTTGCAGCCTGCGTCTCTTCATTCTAATCTATCAGCCAGTGGCGGTGTGGGCGCGCTGCTCCACTTGGAATATTTTGCCTACTTCGGGTTCAAAAAGGTACACTCAGCATGCGTTCTGCTGCCGGATTTGATTTGTTGAAATATGGAAGCGCATGCCGAGTGTGTTGAAATATGCATATGACGATGACGAAAGTCGGACGGAATCACACCAGTTATTGTTTCGTTCACATATCACGCTACACTGTTTATCTAATTTTATTTGACTTATTTAATTCATTTTTCATTTTACCATGGGGAGGGGAGAATAGTGAGAATGCTGAGTACGAGTATAATCGCTGCTTGCAAAGATGCCCCTTGCTTTTATCGATTTCATCAACTTTTTGCGAACCTTGAGCTTCGGGGCTGGGAGTTGAAACAGGGGTGAGGGGGCGCTTTTTATAAGTAAAAATCACCTCTATCGATTTTTTTTTGCAGACCTAGAGCTACGAGTGTGAGAGGTGGAACAGAGAGTAAGTAAGCATGCCGAGTACGAATCACCGTTATAAAAATAGCCATCACTTTTTTATCGATTATTTGCAACTTTGAGGTAAATGGTGGGGAAGTGGCGGTCCCGGGATTTCCGCGGGGGGGGGGGGGGAGAGGAGGGGGACGACAAAATTTTTCCGGTGAAGGTGCGTGGCGTTAGCCAGCCAAAATTTTTTCTGGCCCCCTACCCCAAATCTTGAAAAACGGAGTGTGGCGTCAGCCACGCCTCCGAAAATTTTTTTACAAGGCTAGTTTGAATTTTTTGAAACTTTTAAAAATTATTTTAATCGTTTACAAATAAGCAAATCACTTGCGCAATTTGATAACCCATATAAGTAATTTTCAAAAATTTCACGAATTCTCGGGGGGGGGGCCTCTCCCCCCCCCTTCTCCCAGGTCCGCCATTGTGGTGGGGGTACAGTAGGATAAGTGACTACGATGGGAGGGGTGGGGAGGGTGGGAGTAATTGAGCATGCTTTATACTAGCGTAGCAACCGTTTCTTATTATATTTGTTACGTTTATCATCTCATCGATTTTTCATGAAAAAGCTCAATGTTGCACATAATGAACAGAAGATCACTCAAAGAAATTGACTCCAGTTTTCCTGACGAACTTTCAGAATCTCTGAAAAACTCAATACAGGAAGTATCTGCTCTGCAAAAATGTCATTTATTTGCAAAAGTGAGCGTGCAGATTGATTTTTGGGAGGAAATGATACAAAGTTGCTTCGAGTAGGACATTATTTGAAGGAGATGTCATCCACTCTTTTGGCCAAATTTGGTGGCAATCCCTGAGAAGGTCGAATTTTGAAAACGAGTGCTTGCAAAAATTCCTTCTTTCTCTTGAGAGGGTAAGCGTTGGAGCGAGATGATATTGTGGGGAAATTGTACAACGTTCCGCAGGGCAGAACACTATTTTAGAAAACTATGAAATTTTTGAATTTAAGCAACTGCTCTGCAAAATTTCCAATCTCTTGTCAGAAGGGTGAACCTGTGAGTAGAATCGATTTTGTGGGAGGCGAAACTTTCAAAAAACTATAAAAATTATGAACATTGAAAGCAATTCCTCTGCGAAATTTTCGCTTTCTGCTTAAAAAAAGTGAGCATGGGAGCAGAAGCATGATCATGTGTGTAGGTGCACACACGTTTACCTTTGGCGTCCTTATCCTGGATTTGCAGTCGCGAAAGCAAGAAACTAAGCGATTGTTGTTTCTTACTTCCTTTCGAGATGACTATCACCTAGAAAGGAAAGGGAACGTCAACAACACTCAGTTCAGGGGTTGTGTTTTCCGAGAATCCAGGATGGAGACGCCAAAGGTGGAGGTGTGTGCAATTAAATACACACATGATCCTATGAAATGATTCTACTGTATGTTCCGAATAGAAATTTTAATTCCTAGACAGATCCGGCGACAAATTTGCACGCATGCACTTTGGAGCGGGCGGGTGTTATAGGCTACTCTTCTTTACCGGTCATCGATTTTGCCGATTTTTTTCCGAAGTCTGAACTACGGGCTGGGAGTTGGCACAAAGGGTAGGGCATGCTGATTTCGAATATTATATTGACAGGGCCGAGCAGAGCCTGGTTTGCCAGCAGCCTATTTTAAAGACAGGGAGTAAAGGTAAGCAAACGTTCAAAAAACTTTGAAGGCTCCGTTTTGAAGCTTTGGAGACTCAAAATCTGAGAGTTCCAAAGATCGAATATTCTTCCCATTTATAAGGTTTCTCAATTATTAATGATTTTGAGTATGACAGGACTTCGAGTGAAGCTTTCTTGAAAAATAGTCTATAAAATACCAAAAACTGGTTGAAGATGGAACAACTCAATTTACTACTAGTGTTGTTGTATATAATAAAAGGCAGCAGTTAGATTCAAAAAAGGCTGACTTGCTCTAAGCAAATGCTCAAAGCTTGAAAAGTTGTGCATTGGATTTGTTGGCTATGTATGCTTATACAGATCCATACTAATTATTCGACAGAAAGCGTACAAACTGACGATCCGCGTTTCTTGTTTCTTCTTCATAACTTCCTTCAGATTGCATAAAATACCTAAATCCTAATAACAATAAGAATCCTGAAAGAGTATGATGCTTATCTCAAGGCAAATCTTCTGGCATACTACATTATCTCGCTAGTCCATTTTATTTTGCTCGATTTTTTTTTGAGGATGGGTTTTTCGCAGTGATGTAACGCAGCGCAGAACAACACATTTAGAAGACTCTTGTTTGAATGATTTGGTAGAGCTTGTAGATTATCACGAGTTAGCAGTCAGCCTGATACTCTTTTCCAAAGAGAAAGATAGGCAGGTAAATTCTGAAAAAAATCATGCCATCATGTCTCCTAAATTTTGCTTACCGTAATCCTACAGCAACACGATAATTTGCAAAGCTGGTGTGTTTTTCGTAATCAGTAGACTAGATGACCTCTATGCGCAAGTTTCCAAAGAAATTCGAGCCTTGTTTTTTTTTTCGGTTTCAAGCTCTGAAGCTTACGACGCATGTTGCTAAAGTAGTGATGATCTTGAACTGATCGCAATCTTCGCCCATAAAGGTTTTTCGAACTCGCTGATTACGAAAGTACTGCTCTTGTACCGTAAATTCTTCTGGTAGGGTTATGGTGAGAGGAATGCTGCGATACTACGCAGGTTGCTGAATTTGCCTGCCCTTTTCGCGTATCTTTTGGACAACTTTGCTGTTGCTTTCTGTAATTTGAAATCATAAAAGACAGTGCTGTTGAAGCATGCTTAAGCTAGGCCTCTATCTATATATTGGAGGCCGAACTGAGAGCTTACGAACGCATTTCGTCATGAAAATCGTCCAATTGAAGATCGCATATTTTGGCCAAATACGCCTCGAATGGTCGCAGAACACTCTGACTGCAGATATTGTCCCGTAGTAAACCTGCCAGAAAGAAGGAAGCTTCAGTTGAAGTTCGAGGAGTCAGCTCTATCTCAATTGAGCCATTGATTGATTCCAACCATCCACGTTGATATGATTGAGTACGCCACGTTCATGCAAGTATGCAAGTCGAGACCCGTTCACTAAACAATCACATCTTTGGAGTGGTACTAGCGGTGGAGATGTGGCCGCACTTGTTAGATCTTGTCGAAGGTTGTCAACTTGCATTGTGGCCCCTCCCTCACTTTGTTCGACATGTTAAACTAACGTGGATCGGACTCAGGAGTAACTTACGGAAAATTTCTCTAAATCTTCTCGTTAGCACACTATTCCGGGAGATCATCGCTCGGGTCATCTCCGATGACTCATCTCCGATGACTCGGAAGGGAGATCATCTCCCTGCCGGACCTGACCTGAGGCTCACATGTCAGGTGACGTTGCATTCTTATAGCATGGGGGAATGGGCGGTCGTCATTTCAACTGACGGAACCTCACATAAGGGCCTCAGGGAAGATCATCTCTCCTGACCGAGTTTTATTCGGGCCATCATGTTTGTATGCATATGTAAATTGAATCTAATACAGCATACTTGCTTATTCCCTGTGCCAAATCTTATACCTGGAGCTCAAAGTTTGCAAAAAAGTGATAAAGTTGGTAAAGGTATAGGCTGCTGCATGACGAAGGCCACCTTTGGGCGCGAACGTGGTCTCATTAACCACAGAGCGCATGGGGCGCAGGATTTACAACGGTGAAGATACGCGCGCGTAGCGTTCACGCCCGCTTAACTAATACTGCTTCTGCGCCTTCGTCATGCAGCAGCCTTTAATTGTTTCTGAAAACTATTATGGTATCCGTAATCAGCACCCTCACATACCTACTTAAACCAATTTTCAGCCCGGTAGCTCAAAGTTTGCAAGAAATCCATAAATCGATATCGACCGATGACGAAATGTAGTCTATGAGACCAGTGGCCGCATTCATCATTGATACCTTGAGGTAATTTCTATCTCCAGGTAGTTTTATCACTCATT